ATAAAATTACATAGATTTTATAACTAGTAACTACAGTTTTTATTTTATTCCAGGCACAAAAAGTACGTAATTATATTATATGTACCTACATATTTTAGTCTTAAGCTTATTGCACCCTATGCTGCGTGGACACACGAATCCAACTCTGTATTTTATATTACGCTGGTTGCAAAACTACTTTGTTCGTGCTTAAATTCCTCTGAATGCAATGATAATAAATTATAATTGTATGGATAGGTGTTAAATATAAGTGTTGTGCACTTATGGAATACAAATCTGAAGGAAAGGTCGTCAGAATAGATCACCAAAAATATTTATACCTTTATAGTTGAATATATTGTTTAATTGCAGTTTAGCTATATAATATATTCTACTTCTTTTTTCCAAAAACAATGGCATACCCCCATGTCAAGTGCGAGTACTTTATAAGTAATGGACATTATTGTGTATCAACAAATTTATCACGACTGATAGTGGAATAATAATATAAATAACTATCTAACCATTAATTTCAACATTCATGCAAACGCTTGACTTCCATCGGTAAATTGTTTTAAAATTTTTTTTTGATGATTTATCTTGTGAAAAGACAATATTTAGGTATTCCCCACAATTCTTAGATTCTGAATCATAAGGTATAATTATATCATTAATTAAATATCATTTTTATTATTCTATTTCTAGAGTTAAGACGTACGTACCTACATATTGCATGTATATTTTATTAATTAAGTGTTTCATAACTCATATAATGATGAACATCATCAAATTAATCCTTACTCACAGAGTAGCATTTAGCTATGGATAGCACTTTTAGCTGACACACTTTATCTAGATAGACCTATAGGTACTGCACTTTCTGTAAAATGTTGACTATGGTTCTTAAACCGTTAAAATTAATTAGCTTTAAAATTTTCATCAATATTGTATCATATATTTCAGTCAATTTCAAATTGTTGCTCTATTTAACTTAACATTTCGACAGCGTTCGTATTTTTTTATTCTTCTGCATCTTATATCTTACAGTCGGTGCGTGTATAATTAGAAGTAGTTTTAATTTCATTTAAGGTCCAAATATAATGTCACATTAATTCAAATTTGTATTATTATTATTATTTTTTTTTTTTTTTTTTAGTTAGAGTAGCATTCAGTACGTATAATATATTTATTATGTGCTTATTTTTTATTTAAGTTAAAATGAATCAAACAATGTAATATTTTGATTCTTATAAAGAATTTAACATACAAGAAATAATATTTGTATTCTACTATTTTGAATAATATAAAAAAAATTGTATAACGTTTATTATTCCCCCTTTGGTGTTTTGCCTCGAATCTTTAACGGAGACATTTATGAAAAGTAGTAAATAAGAACCTAATTTGAGTTTGAGCCCACTAATCTAGTATAATAAATATATATATTTATTAAACATTCATGTTCTTGTATATAAGGATCAAAATATCAAACTTGTAAAAGAAATTTTATATATTTTTAAATAATTAAAAATCTATTAATAGTTTTTTCAAAGATACAATATCAGCAACATTTCTAAATCTTGAGAAGTAATTCTTTAATTAGATCCGGCATCTAATACTTATTTTTCTGAAACTGTTTTGATGGTCTTATTTTTAAATTTAATTTTTTACTTTTTACTATCAATTAGTTTTTTTGTATTCCTGAACATTATCAAAATATAAGGTCATTGAATTTTCTTGCACAAAGAAAAATATGAAATATGTAGTCATATGCAAGAAAATGTGCTATTAGTTTTAAAGTATTACGAATAAAAATGTATGACAAAAATCTCAAAATGTGAAAAGGAAAAACATGCCATTAAATAAAAACACGAGCTCTACTTATAAGTTACGACCCTCAAAAGTTTGGGAATTTCTTTTAATAATAAATGTAATCTTTCTGTAATAATTTTAACTTTTGGTTTAAGCACTTAATTATTTATGTACCTATCTATTCATAAATACTGGTGAAGTTGGATTGATATATAAAATGTTTTGACTGTATAGTGTACATCGTCATCGTCTCTGAATTAAGATTTTGAATGCAATGTGGGTTTTTTTTCTGTTTATCATCAACATTTGGGATAGGTAGTTAAAATGCTTAAATTTTATTGCATCGTATTTTTTGATGGAAAAGTGAATCTGTAGTTGGTGCATTCAGGAATTCAAAATTGAAAATATCCACTAGTTTTTTAAAGCTTTGGGAAAAACAGGAATAATGGGAATTTTTACGCATACAATTTTAGACAACATCGATTTTATTCTTTTTTTTTTACTCAAAAACTTATAATCGTAGACACTTAAAATTTTAACAACAAAAAATGAGTATTTTCCGTATATGATACACAGGCACAATTATTTTTTCTGTGTATTTGAATTTCAAATGTTAATGAGATATTTTCTATTTTTATTAATTGTTTTATAAATTATTTTTACAATTTACCTAGCTAAACAAATATTAATGTTTAGTTTGTTGTTGAAATATAGAAACCAAATTATTATTTTTAATATGTTTTTTTTACAATTTTATTGATACATGATTACTAAAATAGTATACGATATTCGTACAGCAACATTTTAAGTAATAGATAAGCTCTTTACATTTAATCCAAATAAATGTTGAGATTCAATCAAAATTGTTTATTTTATGATCAATTCATTGAATTATTTAACATTTTAATCATCATAGTAAAGTATTTACTTACATAATCTGTTTTTACAGATGTGGCGGACGCTTACAAAAATTTTGTCTTCTTAAGTAAGTGTATATTATAATGTGAATTAAAATTGATAATAAAAAATGTTATATAGTAACCATGTACTATACAGAGTGATTTTTAAGCCTGCTCACCTTATTTTTATGCTTAAAATATGAATGTTATATTCAAATTCTCATTTTTGGAATTTTTAAATGTACTTAGAAGTATTGCGATAAGATTAATCGAAATCCGGAAGTTTTAAGAGTATTTTTTAGTTTATAATAGAAGAATATTCCAATATCAACATTGTATAAATAATAACAATTAAATCAGTTAGTGTTGAATACAATTGTCGGCTAAAAATGTCTCTTTATATGCGTATATAAATCGAATTATGTACTCGTTTGTAGAAATGAAATCTAATGTATAAACTCAACAAACCTAATACTAATTTATTTTGCAGTCAGCAATTCGAATAATCAGTCTACTGATTTGATAGAAGATTTCTGCAAATCGAAAACTTCGAATAGTAATTACAAGAAATTTCTCCAGGAACTGTTTCTACTTCCACCAAAAATTGTTTAGTTATTTTGTTTAATCATTTTAAGACAAATATTAATTGAATTAAATTGTATAACATAATATTATATTATACTATGTATATGGACTTGATTATAATTATAAATATATCTATTATAACAATTCAAACTAAAATAAATGTTACATTAATAATATTTTATCCTGTACCGAACGTTGCTAATAATATACATTGCTAATGTATTATATAAAATACTAGCTGATCCCGTGCACTTTGTTGCCCGTTAAAAATGCCAACTCTATATAAGAATCGATGGTGTAATGCGAGCAGTATATTTATGCCTACCTGCTGTGGATTGCGGACCCCGCTTGATGAGTATTTTACATAAATAATATGTTTTATTTTGATTTTGATTTAGGACGAGCCGATGAGCGGCTATAAGTGCAACTCAGCCACCTTAATAGGCAATGTACGAAAATTCAACTGTACGCATGCTCATACCTGATCTGCCCGATGAATCACTGTATGCAATCAAAAAAACAAAAAAAAAAACTACCAATTTCTACTAAATATATTTATATTTCTCACGTAACCAATGGCAACCGTATATAAACAAATATTTACTTCGTAAATCTTAAAATCCCTGTTTGAGCAACTCTCCGGGTCCAACCTATCGGGTCCAATTGTGAATCTAAATCATCCAGGGCGTCACCCAAAAGCATACAAAAAAATTCATTCAAATCGGTCAAGTCGTTGAGGAGGAGTTCAGTGACATGTACACGTACAGTAGAATTATATGTACTTATAAAGATAATATCGATTATCGGGTACATCTTAGGTCATTGTACTCGTATTTTGTTTAACGATTATGGATCGATGATATGATTTTCTTGAATGTTTGATGAAGTTTCTTTATTTTTAACAGGCAATTTTTTCGAAAAATTTAAACACATTTTGTAAACATGCAGTTATACCAATATCCGAATCAATTTTATTTTTTCAACAACTAACCAACCTTTTTATGAAACTATATTTTTAATGGATTATAGTAAAACTTTTTTTCTGAAAATGTTGATAGTCAAATCAACTATTTTGATTCACTAGTTAGTAGTTTATTAACTATATAAGTAAATAGATTAATACTTAAAATTGAAATAGTTGAATTAAATATTTACTAGAGCTAAATCATTTTTCTTAGTTATCTTTATATACATTTTAAACGTCGTGCATTATTGATAAAACCTTTTAATACTAACCAACATTAAATAACATGACGATAGAACCTTCTCATACTTACGTAAACTTATCAGAATAAAAGAGTTCTGTCAAACTACAACTATAATAACAATTCAGTAATTTTTCATGAAATGGAGCCTTTTCATTTTCTGTATCTCACTAATTAGAAACACCGTTTTTTAATTAAAAAAATACACAGTTGAAAATTAAACAAATTTATGCAAAAAAAAACTATTTTTGACAATAGTGGCCTATAAACCTTTTCATTCTCGACCCGCGATGCGTATAACATGTACGAAAGAATATCATCAAGATAGAGCAACTAGCACAATTCATGAACGTATGTATGATTTTCTGGAATGTGGATTGTGGAGCTGCGATATAATTCAAACGATTTAATAATCATAATTGAGCATTGAGCACTTTGAAAGGTAGTGGAACCACGTTAGCAGCACAATAAACGAGGCAGGTGTATTATTATGTGAATGATGAATTTATACCATTAACTCCTGTACCTCAATATCAGGACATGTGTGAGAAAGGTTAAGAACCACTGATCTAGGGTCATTACCCGGGTTATTTTAATAGGTTTCATGCTGTAACGGAGGGTACCGTTGTTTAGAACACGTGTGTATTGGCCGAGGGTTTGTCACTAAAAACCCTGGTGGTCACCCATCCGGCGACTAATGACATAGGCTGATGCTTGATTTCAGAGCAAATTATTGGCTGAGGCCAAACACCAGGCCACATAATGAGTTCATTTTCGATACTAGTGCTCACTGCTAACTTTAGGTAGGTACATTTCTAAATTGTAATGAAATTGTGTATGTATTTCATAATCATACAACAGTTTTTTGGTTTTTTAACTCATAAAATGTATTTTTATTCGAGACTGATGCTGATTTAAGTGCATACTAAACGAAAATAAACAACATATCGAGTAGGAGTTGATAACAATTGAGTCTAAGTCTTTCTGTCCCTACTATTATTCATAATAAGTACAATATTTATTATTTATAAATTATAATCGTACAATATCATTTTATTTTATTCTTGTTTTACTTTAACTATATGGAAATATTTAAATATGAGTTTATAAATCGCATTTATGAAATAATAAATTATGAAAATAAGGACAAACGCAATGAACAAAAATGTGCTAATTACATCGACTAAAAAATATTTATACCACGGCAGTTTCAAAGCGTGAGATTTTAAATGTGGCGCTCCGTTGTGACGTAAAACATACTCTGTCCAGTAAGCCACCGATTCAGCGGGTGACATAGGTCGGTCTTTGAACCGTTTAGATACTATTTTGGCATTTTTTTGATACCTGCAAAATTGAAAACATATAGTGGTGTGTATTATATTTTGGTTGCACTTAAATTGTTCCCTTAAACAAATTGTAAAAATAGACAAGCATGGACATAAACAGGTTAAAATGTTAAATTTAAGTTAATTCTAACCTTTTAATTAACTTTTTTTAATTCAATTTTCATTAACTTAATTTTAAACATAACTAGTTTTAATTGGTGTAAACTTAATAAGCAACGAGTTACTTGTTTATCAAATCCAAGTTACGTACATTTATAAATAATTAAATAATACATATGATAAAACTATTATTGATGATGCATATTGCATATCATAAGAAGAAAAAATTGATATAAAAATAATTAATGAATTATAATTTAGGTAGATACACTCCGTTCTTAATATCAATTAATTGCTATGCTTTTTTTCAGTTAATTTTGACAAATTAGTATCATGCTTCGACCATGTTATAAGATCATATATTTGATACTAAGAATAGCCATCCCTAGCAGAATGATACCTAATTAATCGTTTCAATAAAATCGACTTATTACTACAAAAACAGCACAATAATGCCCCACCCACCGAGTATGGTCCATGTAAAACCATTGTATTCATTAACGTATTTGAATTCGAATCTAACTTCCTTAGATTTCTGTGTAGTTAGACGAATTTAATCATTTTTAAAATTATACTTTATATAAATCTAAAATATTTTATCATTCAAATCAATGAAGGACAAATTAATTTATTACAATAAAACCAAAAACGCGTGTCTTGACTTATGGTGTACTTTTACGAATACCACCTGCTATTAAGAATTTTATCTTAGAAAATGTTAATTATGACTACCATAACTATAAGTTTAGTATTTTCCTACTACCAATTGTCCGGAGACGTCTTTGATTAGAAGCAAAGAATGAATTTGAAAAGTTAACAGCGTACGAATTCAACCATAACAGAGGTCTGGCCACAAATCAATAATAGATGAATATTTAGCAGCTACCATTTCGGGTTACAGTTCTTGTACATAGTTATTTTTATTTTTTGTTTAAGATAAAAAATTGCTCACCTATCGTTGTTAACAATGTCCAAAATGGCGTTTAAAAACGTTTCTTTAGTAACAGAAAAAAGGTCCATAGATATCGCCATTCCAGCATCGACTAGATTGTCAATATTTCTCGGTTGGTCAAAAAAAATAGGAAATCCTATCACCGGTACTCCTCCGTCCACAGCTTCGTATACTCCAGATATACCTCCATGGCTGATGAAAAGTTTCACATTGGGGTGCACTACACAACCGAGAAAGGTTACGTTAAGTTTTAAAATCGATTAACCATAAATGGTACAACTTAAAAGTTAAACGTTTTGTCATAAATAGAGAGTTATAATAATATTTGGGCACGTACAGAGTATGTCACGCTGCGGAAACCATTTCCTCGTCATCACATTGTTCGGTTTGTTTTTCATTTCACCTTCGTATTTCCACAACACCTTCTGTGGAACCCTAGCGAGCACCTCTCGGAACGCGCTCAGTACGTTTTCCGGTAACGACGACATCTTAACCACCGACCCGAACGTGAAGTAAATCACCCCGTGAGGAGCGTCGTTGATAAATTCTAATATATCCTGGGAACAATCAAACCTATACACTAAGTTGTACAAAAATGAAAGTTTAATTAACAATGATAAACATCATAGTTTGAATATACGCAGTGTGATCAGAAGACTTCTCGATCTACTTATCAAGCTGTGTCATCACAGATTTATGAGTTTTTTTCCGTCTTATAAACGTAAACCATTGCAATTTTGCAATACCAAAGTCTGCAATATTTTGTTGTTACCTTAAATAAGTATAACCGTGAATAATTAGAAACTATTATAATTTATAAACCTCAAATGTAAAAACATTTTGCAGGGTGTGTGTGCACGTTGGTTTTTTTTTTAAAAATCTCGAGCATTTTTATATTGTGTAAATCAAACATTTTCTTATGTTTATATTAGTAACTGGCCTGTTGAAGCTAACATTATTGCAGAGCCGGTAATGCGAGAGTGAGGTCCTTCTAATATTACCTTCGGTATCGGTTCGGGAGGGGTCAGATGTATGCCACCGATTTCGACAACGTCCGGCGTCAGCGGCCGAGCCGGTTCAGTGATGAAGTGCGTGTTGGTGAAAATCACCGACGGTTTTACCAATGCCACTGCATCGTACGGTCGAGGGTCGGGCATCAGGTTAGCGTACCAGGTCAGCATCGAACAGTACACTGTCAGCATCGAGTTGGCGAAACGCTCGATAAAAGTTTTGGGAATGCCTCGGTGGGACAGCACGTGGCTGGTGGCCGACGGGTTTGGGATGTGTCCTGTGAGTGGACGTTCCAGGAACGTGGAGATTGGCGTCGGTACCACGTAAACTAAGGGCACCCTGAGCACAGTGGCCACGTAAGCCACGCACTCTGACATAAACGGTTCGGTGACGACCAAGTCGAATTTTCGCTCCACTTCTCCATTCATGATGTCCGCCATAATTCGGTGTCCGTAAATCGTGTCACAGCCCGACCGAGTAGCGTTGACCATAATCGGTATCAATGTACCCTTTTTCCCGAATATTTCGATCACGTATCTCACGTCCAAGCTAACAATCGGTGCCATTTGCTCGGACACGTCTATTTCCGTGTAACCATCCCGGTCACCGTCCACAAACTGTGTAAACACGGTAACCGTGTGGCCGCGATCCGTCAGAGCCTGCAGCACAGATCGCATCACGTTCCAGTGGCTCTTGCCCGCGACCGACTCCACTGCCAGTATGTTGGCGGCACCAACTGGCGTCCAATGGATCAGTGACGAAAATGTGAAAAACGCAATCAACACCTCCACGAAATTTGACATGTTTTTTTCCAGTTAATTCTGAAGTACAATATAAAATTATTTAACTATAGATAATGTGTCTGGAATGACCGGGTAATCGGTATTCGGTGAATGTGTCGGGTTTGATTTGATTAATATTTACAATGGTATTTCGAAATTTCTCTCTTTCGGATTAACATTTTTGGATTCAAATTTCAAATAACACAATAATGTCATCATGAAATAAGATCCAAAATCGATTTTTCTAAGAAATTGTGATTAGTACGCTGACATTAATAATTTTTCTGAAGTCGTAATGTAAGTTTATGAAAACTATTAAGAAAGGTTTCTTAATAGTTTTCAAACTATTTTTACTGTTCTTTACTTGTTTCCACTGTTTCAATAATATTTTACCGTAGTATTGGTGTGTTGTGATTTAAAATATGCACGACATCAGATTTTATCTATATAATGTAATTGATTCTTTACTCACCTATAAAATATTGAATATTATTTACTCGAGCACTAAAGCAAAAATGATCGTAAGCACATACAATTTACATACAAAACATAAAAGTAACACAATAATGAGAGCGATTTCATGAACCGCATATAACTATGACAAATTCAAGCCACTACGCTTTATTATAACCATGCAAACTTTAGACCACTTATGAAAAGATAATTGATTTTTTTAATCTTTCACAAATAATTTGTTTAGAAGTACTGTAATGGATAATGTAAGTCACTCTTTATAATTAACGGATAACAATAAAGTGGCATCACCATAATCTTTGTTATAATATACTAGCTGATACCGTGCATTTCGTTGCCCATTAAAATACCATCTCAATATGATTCAAGATTTGTGTTCAATTCATCATTTAATACCCTGCGTTGTGATGTTCAAACTTCCCATGACAAATTATAAAATATGTAACCAATAACACCCATTTATAAACTAAAATTGCCATCATAAATCTCAAAATCATTTCTTAAATGTTCAATAAAAAAAATAATGGCCACTTATTGAGATGACAACTATATTTTATATTTTAAGTAGGATCAAAATACTCACATTGAGCTTAATCTTATCGAAATCGGTTAAGTAGTTTTGGAGTGTATTACACGTAAACTAGTTGTATGCTTGATTTTTATACATTGTACATTATACATATGTATGAGGTATCATGATTATTGTATGTATACTTAGATGTGTATTTTATACTCGTAATTTTAATATATTTATTACGTCATACTTTTATATATTCAGTAATCAGTACAATATTTTGTATTTTCCAATGATAAATACATTCTTTCAAATATGACTAATGTACAAATTGTATTCTTATCTTTTATTTAATTATAAATTGATCAATATTAAAACTATTTCTTCATCCTTCGATCATCGAATATATGACAAGTCTCCAGATGAATTAGGGTAAGATAATTTATATTTTATTATATAATTAAATAGTAAATTCTCGAAGAAGGTAGTAAATACTCGAGTGTGCTATATGTGCTATATATATCCTTGCTACATATATACGGATTAAAAACCAACCATACACGATACACTCCCCTACAGTTAAAAATCTACTAAAAAATCAACCAACAGACTATGTTTCAGCGAGTTAATTAATAAAAATAAATAAATATTAAAAAGATGTACCGCAATTTATTAATAACTTACTATAACAGATTTACATAAATACCTAACTCTTTATTCAATATTTAAGTTTAGAAAATCTCAGTACAATGAATCTTAAGTATAGTATTCACTATACTCAATACGCATGACAACCAATAACTTTGACAATAAAACGATTACAATGACTGCTGTATCTTTGAAGTATTTTGAAGAATATTAAAACATTTATTATTTGTGTCATATTATTTTATTCACGTTTTGCTTTGACAGCTTGGAAAAATGTATAACTGTGCTTCCAAATCATTTTTAGGCCATAATACATTATGAAAAATAGGACAGACCCAATAAACAAAAATGTGCTGATTACATCAATCAAAAAGTATTGATACCATGTCAGATTCAGAGCGTGATACTTTAAATGTGGAGCTCCTTTATGACGCAAGACGTACTCCGTCCAATAGACCACAGATTCTGCGGGTGACATGGGTCGGTCTTTGAACCGTGTGGAAACAATTTTGGCGTTTTTTTGAAACCTATACACATAGACTTGAGTGAGAATTGTTTATAAGTTTTAATAAAAGACATACAGATGCTTACTTATCGTTGTTTATAATCTCAAAAACAGCGTTGAACAATGTCTTTTCGGTGATGGATAACAGGTCCATCCTGATCGCCATCCCCGAGGCTACCAAATTGTCAACATTTCTCGGTTGATCGTAAAAAAACGGAAATCCAAGTACAGGCACACCCGCGTCCACTGCTTCGTACACTCCAGATATTCCTCCATGACTGATAAACAGCTTTACATTAGGATGCACTAAAAATTAAGGTCGCATTAAAATTATAATATTATTATATAGTCCAATATTAATAGTAGCTGTATATATATGGCCTGATTTTAGTAATTCCGCTCTTACAAAGTATGTCACGTTGAGGAAACCATTTACGAGTCATAACGTTCTTCGGTTTGTCTTTCATTTCACCGTCATATTTCCACAACACCTTCTGCGGAACCCTGGAGAGCGCCTCCCGGAATGCGCTTTGAATGTGTTCTGGAAACGATGACATTGAAACTATAGATCCGAATGTGAAGTAAATCACTCCGTGTGCCGAGTCTTCGATGAATTCCAAAATATCCTTTAACAAGTAAGCTATTTGTATAAAAAAGGAAAATTATATGAGTTTTCTCCATCTTATAGACATGCAACACTATAGTATGACAAATTGATGCATTTATACACATTAGCACAATGGTTCTCAAAATTATAAAGACCTTATGTTGCTAAAAAAATTATACGGAACCCCAAAAATTTTTAATGCTCATGAAATATACATAACTCATAAAAATGATTTTTGAATGATATGTTATTAATTCGTTTCTGTATTATAATTACAGATAATAAAAGCATTATAAGTTTCAACCATTTTGCATCTAATATAGTCTTTGACTACGAAACAAAATAATCGGATTATTATTTATGAAATAAATATGTTAAAATAAATATTATTTTATTTCAATTTAATTCCGATACGTCCGCGGGCACATGGGTTACTCTTACGTAGCTCCGTGGAGCACTTATGAGAACCACTGCATTTGCAATACCGTGATTATTTTGCTAACTTTAAGATGATGTCTGCGCAGTATTTTTTTTTCTCAGGCCCAAGCACAAGACAGATAATTTCGCCTTTCAAATAAAATCGTTTTTGTGATTTTTGAGCAGGCAATCTTAGAGTAAAATCGCCTATTATAAAAATTATAGAAGGAAATATTTTTGAAGGTTTCACATATCGGTTTTGTATTTTATTATTATTTGATTTTCAAAATGAAAAAAATGTCGTACATTTTAATGATGTTTAAATTGTTTTAAAACAATATTTGTCATATCCATATATGTCTATTGTCTACCCTCAAAAATATGATTCACAATATTTTTGATAACAGAAATTACTCAAAAAAAAAAAAAAAAATGATTTTGAGTAAATTTATTTTACCTTTGTTGCACTTGGGTCGGAGGGGGGAAACAATATAACAGTCCGCAGACATCTGTTTATGTCATTATGAATTTACAAGTATTATTCAACTCAAAGTTAAGAACATTATTATCTGTGTTTGTACATTTGAATATTTACATATTTTCACGAACTATGAATAATTGCATACTGTAAAGAATTATGTACACACTCGTACAACTACTAGAAATCAATAAAAACTGATAACGTTCTTACCTTTAAGTTTGATAACAATGTGGGCGTGGAGTCTTCTTAATTACCTTTGGTATCGATTTGGGTGGGGTTAGATGTATGCCGCCGATTTGGACGACGTCCGGAGTCAGAGGCCTAGACGGTTCGGTGATAAAATGTGAGTTGGCGAAAATCACCGACGGTTTGACCAGATCCACGGCGTCGTAAGGTCGAGGGTTGGTGCGCTGCATCTTCCACTCGGAGTACCACGTCAATGCCGAACAGTACGCAGTCAGCACAGCATTGGCGAATCGTTCGGAAAACGTTTTGGGAGTTCCGTGGCCGGACAGCACGTGCCCCGCGTCCGCCGGGTTTGGGATGTGACCGGTCAGCGGACGTTCAAGGAACGTGGCCATCGGCGGTGGGAACACGTACACCATTGGCACGCGGAGAACGGTGGCCACGTACGCCACGCACTTCGACATGAACGGTTCGGTGATGACCAAGTCGAATTGTTGGGCCGCCCCGTTCATGATGTCCGCCATTAGTGGGTGTCCGTAAATCGCGTCGCAGGCCACTCGGCTGATGTTCTCCATGATCGGCAACAGTTGCCACGTGTTACCGATCGTTTCGATCAGGTATGTCGCATCCACGTCGACGAGCGGTGGCCTTTGCTCTGCAGACACGTCCACCTCCGTGTAACCCTCCCGGTCACCGTCCAGAGACGAAGTGAACACTGTCACGTTGTGGCCGCGGTCCGTCAACGCTCGCAGCACGAATCGCATCACGTTCCAGTGACTCTTGTCCGGCACCGTGGGCACCGCCAGGATGTTCGCGGCACCGACCGGCGTCCACTGGATCAGTGCGGAAAATGTGGAAAACGCAATCAACACCGCCACGAAATTCGACATGGTTTTTCACAATTTTCTGTGACACGATATAATATATTTTTGACTAGGTATATGTCAATAATAATATTTGCTGAGGAAAAAACTACATTTACAAAGAATAACATATTCCATAACGTAATATCTTAAGGGGATTTCAAACGGACAACTTTTNTATTTTGTTTTCATTGACTTGCATACTAGATACAAACTACAATAATAATTGTTCACGTACCTATATTAATGATTGTTATAATATTGAATAATAATGTGTGACTTACGAACTATTTATATTTTATATCAGTGTCCACTAAATCATAAGCCTAAAAATTTGTGAGATTCACATAAATTGTTATGTTTTATTTCACTTAATTTTATTATCTAAAAACACAACATACATATATACATATTAATATATTATATTGTATGTACATTGTACTTACATATTGTAGTCGTTATTTATAGCCAAAAATTAAATATACCTTTCTAATTCTTAATTTGGCTCACCTATACGATTATTTTTATTATATTGTATGTTATGTTGTATGAAGGCATTAAATTATTACACTTACACATATGTTCAGATAAAAAAATGTAATTCAAATATTAAAAAAAAAAATACTTAAGAAATTATAACAAAAAAAATATCCTTGTTAATTAATTAGCACACAACTGCATAATAGGTTATCCTTACCATTTTTTGATTTTATAAATAATTATATACAATAAAAACTTGTACAAGTTATAACCTTACTCTTGTATGTACATTAAAATATGTGGAGTTATTTTTTGTTGGTATACACGTTTAGTTTGTTTTTCTAGATCATTGTGTAATTCCCAAATATTGTTTGCTCTCTTTATAAACGTCATATAATGGTTACTACTGTATGCTATTGCTGCAACTAATATGTACCTATAATAAAATCCAATTATGTTATGTTTTAAAATTAATCATATAATATGAGTTTTTAATTAATTTAGTTTGCTTACTGTTTATTATCTACACTGATTTCCTGTGGAATATCTGTTAGTTGGCATGATAAAATATTGTCTGATTGGAAGACCAATGAATCGAGTTCAATAAATATATGCTCTTGAAGTTTTCGTTGTATATTTTTTTCTCCACCACAAGGCAATGAATTGTTAGGCAGCATACATATTTCAGGTCCACTTTTTACATATTTTTGTATCACTTGAGGTAAAATAGATATACCTTCAGCTATAACTCGAACACCATCTGTTGGACTCATCATTATTGTAGGCGATGATCGGCTTTTTTTATAATTTCGGCATTTTTGATTACTGCAACTTATATCTTCAACACAGCTAGGCGCTTCTTTCAACAGACCATGAATTATAAAGCTTACATTGCACTCTGCATTGATTAAATGGACATTATCAACACAACTATCTGAGGTAAATATAGTGTTGAGTAATTGCAATCTTCTATTGTACATTTTTGTTGAAGTTCCATGATTAGCAATGTCAACGACAAAGTTTAAAAATTCAATATTTTTTGAATTTATATACGAATGATATGATGGAAAGTCTGTAGAAGCCATTGCGATTCCAAACACCAATGAATCAAATGCACACGTGTTGCTGATAATATATTTTTTTTTTTTCAGGCTGCATGGAGTTGTCAGATTTCCATTTCGTAAAAGTACTGTTTTCGACGATCTTGTACATGTTCTACTTATAACTCGTTCAATTTCTGGAAATGCTTCTAAATATTTAGTTCTTCTTTTTTTAGTATTGTTTACGGGTTCTCCTGAAATACCTGTATCTATTGTTAATGATTTTTTAGAAGTTCTCACTCGATTTTCTGAGTTTATAAGAGGCCCGGTTCTTATATCCTTTAAGCCTCTCCAACTTTCTACTTTATTTAATGAATCATCACTACTTGAAGAAGAGTAATTGATAGACAAAAGCTTTCCAGGACTAGAAATTATTCCGCTGTTAATAATATGACTAGCTTCAGTGGATCTTTCTAATATTTCTTCTGTTCTACGGCTAGGTGACTCATACGAAGTGCAGTAGTTGACCTGATAACGATTATTTTCTGAGTCACTGTCAATATTAAATTTCTTTGAAGGAAACAGTTGTTCACTTCTCGCGAATTTCATCGTATTTTCTAAACTTCGTAAATGTGTGACAACAAATCGATCAACTGATAATAGACGAGATTCGTGTCTTAATATAGAATTTTTTAACTGTGAAAATTCACCTTCTACAGAAGCAGAAGTAGCCGTGAGATACGGAGACTTGAAAAACCCTACCATTACATTTGTCCACATGGGAAATTTTTTACAGATTCTCATTAATGGCACGTGAATATCGGGCACATAATAAGCATTTAAACGATCTCCTTCTACTGAAGAACGAATTCTAATTTCAAATTCAATTGCTTGAAAAAACTCGTCCAAACAACAGCTTCCTTCTTCTTCATCGTCATCATATTCACCATCACATATGTTATCATCCAAATCTACAGTTTCTTCTTCTCTAGAAACCTCTATTGTATTTGATGGTGAATGACCTATGCAAAACATTAATGTTACAAATTGTCGAGCAACTATATAGATTATAATAAATAACTTACCTTATTAGTCTCCATTTTAAATGGATGTTAATTATAACACCAACGTCTAACTGTAATCAAAATAAAATGCTTAACGGCTTAACACTGACGTATTATGTCTCACTAAACAGTAATAATACTAAACAATATGGATAATATCTCTATTGTAAATTATAAATCTTTCGTATCGTAATATTAGTATTGAAAATATATATGTATAATGAACCATTTAAAAATAATGCAGGCACGGACCTGTAAAGCGGCATGGGTGCATAACCGTTTGCATGCTAGAATTTCAGTATTAAGAGGACGCCACACGGGCAAATGAAACCATGCAATGGCCAAGAGAATGCGCTGTTAGGCGTTTTCGCGGTCCGCAAGCACGCGACGTTTAAGCCGCGCCCACTACTCATAGCCGTGTACCGACCGACGAGTTGTCGAGTTCGGGAGCGTTGTTTATTATCTTTTGAACGTTCGTCCGTGACGTATTCCGTCGAAATAAAATTCATACACATAAATGCATTGCCGCCATAATATTTTAAATATTTTCTAGCGCTATACACTAACCATTTTTTAATTAAAGCCACTGTTTGCCCAATAGTATACCTATTTGTATATAACAATATTATGTAGGCTAGGAAATCTAGTTTTTATCGTACCTTTAATTGTTGTACAAACATTTTAAGTACCTATTCGAGTTAACAATATTTTACGTACAATAACTTACGATTTACATTTAGTTTGTAAAAATATCAATAGATACATACCTATTATGTATTTATTTTTATACTTACCAATATTTTCGAATTTATTACAATTTTATTATTATTTATATTATTCATTGATGACATTCATATAATATCAATAAACATTTTAAATACTTACGTGGAATCTTGTTTTAATTTTATAATTCTAAGCTATTAAAATTGAAAATAATTTGTGAATTTTCAATTTGATAAATTTTATCAAAATTTAAACTTTAAATGCATATAAAAAAAAATTTTGCATGTGTATTTTAATATTTTTAACTGCCATGATATCGTAACAATTTACAAAGAGCCTTGTATTACATTTTCAAGCTTTTTGACCCAATGAATAACATTTTATTGGCACTAATAGAAAAAAAAAAACTAATAAATTTAAAACGCCCATAAAAAAACTCAAAATATTTTGAAAATGTTACAACTATCACTATTGTTAGTTCTTATATAGACAATAATAAAGTAATTAATAAGTAAAATATCCATGGTTATTTAATGTTGATTTTACAATGATGTGAGTTTTTTTATTTTTTTTATGTTTGTCATCACCTTTTAGAACAGTAAAAGTGCTTGGGTTTTCTTCAACAGTATCTTTTTTGATAGGAAAGTGAATCTAGTTGGTACTTTGAAAGGTTAAAAGTAAAATTTTTTCAGTAATGTTCAAAAGCGCCGTGAAAAAAAAAGAAAAATTAAGGAAAAACGGTTATTTTCACACAAAATCTGTTTTCAAAAAATCGATTTTGGTTTTTGGTGCAACTCTTAACAAATTACCGTAGGTATATGAAATTTTGACTGAATTTTTATATTAGCATTTTGTATACACGATAAAATTTTGAAAATAATTTGACACTTTTTGAGCTGTTTAAGAACATTGTCAGTTTTCAATGTTTTTAGTTTTTTTTTCTATAAATATCAATGCAATTTTATTTGTTGGATAAAAAAAGCATGAAAATTTAATGCAAGGCTCCTGATATAATGTTACAATAGCAGTTGAAAAATATAAAAAAAACATAGGTACAAATTTTTTTTATAAGCATTTAAAGTTCAAACTTTGACAAAATTTTTCAAATTTCAAATTCAATAATTAATTTGTACATCCACTGCCCACCTTTTGTTTTTTTGATTTGTGAATAATTGGTATAATAAATTAAAATATCAAAAATCTAAATGAGGAATAAACTAGACTTGGCCGCAATGTAGATACCACTACTTACTATGATTTGCTTTCTTTTTTGAGAAGAAATCTAAACCTTTTACTTTTTTCTGAATCTTCTTCTCCCCATCACCCTCGTAAGTCATAAGTTTATTCAGAAACTGACCAAGTGTTAAACAATACAAATAAAAGAGAAGTGTTGCTCTTTAATGTAGGAGTGCATTGAGGTTATGAATTTAAAAAAAAGCAGACTAGGCCGACTTTTTTGGGAGGGAGTTTGGAACTTGGCCTTTTTTCACTGTTATGTTTTTGTTGGGGATATAATTTATTTTTGCGGGATTCAGCGTAGTGGACTACGTGTTGTTATTATTTTTTTATTTTTTATTTTTTATTTTTTTTAAATTATCGTTTTATAAATATATATATAAACTTGCTAATTCGATGACCACACTCGCAGATTCTCGCAAATCAAAACGAAGCTTTGGACACCGGTTTGGTGTAAATCGGGCGAAGTGGGTGGGCCAACTTCAGAACTTTGAAAGCTCGTATCTGAGCTTTGGGCAACTCGCAAATTCGGGGACCAAACTCGCAAATTCTCGCAAATCAAAACGAAGCTTTGGACACCGGTTTGGTGTAAATCGGGCGAAGTGGGTGGGCCAACTTCAGAACTTTGAAAGCTCGTATCTGAGCTTTGGGCAACTCGCAAATTCGGGGACCAAACTCGCAAATTCTCGCAAATCAAAACGAAGCTTTGGACACCGGTTTGGTGTAAATCGGGCGAAGTGGGTGGGCCACATGAAGTTGGCCCACTCGGCATTGGTATGTGTAAACGTGACTCGCAAATTCTAGGAGTATACTCGCAAATTCTCGCAAATTACTCGCAAAATTTTTGTACCAATTTCAGATTGATATGCCTATGTCGGTGGGCCAAGTTCATGGCCGTTTTTAATTGTGGTTACAAATTGTATAACAATACAATTAGTGATGTGGCTTTTGAACTGAATATTTCAAACATGTATCACGCAGCTGACATTTATTGTACCACTCAGAATCTAAAAGTTTACAATTACTACCAATATAACACCAATATAAAGTCAAAAGGGTTCTCTCTCCTCTTGCGATCGAAAATACATTATCGTTATAGTATTGAATATAAATACCAATATGTCTAATAGGTATCTCGGGTTCTATAGACTATGTATATATTATATAGGCTTTAGAGCTTAGAAGTTTAGAACATATAAGTAGGTGGTACTTTTGTATACTCGTGCCACTGAGAGAGCACTACTCGTTCGCGCATCCAAATGAAAGAGCTCCGCGTTTTCGTTCTCAAATTTCTCCCACTCTACCACCTAGCCGGCAGGTTTAGCGATGGGAATGCACGAGATTGGACGAATTTTGGTCGCCGCAAAGTAGAGCTCTCGAAGGGGCAGGAGTATAGTAGTAGTTCAGCACTAGTGTGTATTTCACATTTTCTGTGACTTAAAAGAGCAATAAAATAATTTCTTTTAAATAGTTTCTTTTTTAATAGGATTATGATGACCTTGTCAGCAATGACTTTTTATTTTTTAATATAACTATTTATATTAATTAATTATATTATATTCATATATTTTAGTATATTTAGGTTTAGGTATTACTAATATGTAGACAGTGCTGGAACTAGGATTTTTAAGTTTATTTATAATGTATTATGTTTATTAGTAATTGTTGAATTTATTGTTCTTAATTATTCGTTTAACATTATAACACGAATGAAAATTCATTTTTAATTTTATAACATTGAATTTATTATAATGATGGGTGGGAAGTGGCTAAACCAAATTATCACTGTCGTATGAATATATTGAATAACAGAGGCGCCAAAGGCGGCTATGTCAAAAAATTATTTTTAAATAATATTATTAATTTCGGCGTTACAGCACCCTATTACATACCGACTATTAGTGATGCACCGTTATCGGATAAAGAACAATCGTATCCCTTTCTCATCTTTTCACACGGTTATGCAGCGACGAGATTCGTTTGCTCGGAATTTTGTAACACTTTGGCGTCACACGGATTTATAGTCGCTGCCATTGAACACAGGTTAGTTATTCAATAAAATTAAAGTAACCCATTTTTAAGACTTTGAATACTTATGAATGTATGGAAATATGGAAAAAGTTTGGAAAAGTCCAATTGGAACATCCAGTAACGCTTTCAAAATTTTAAATGTCAATTTTTTCAATTAATTTAACAGTAAACACTTATTACAAAGTAAGCTTTTGTGTTTTTGAACATATTAAAGTCGAGTTTACCTACCTATCTTGTTTACATTTTTCAAAAATATTATCTTGTTGGAATAAATTGTGTTTAACACCCTGTGACATTTTATTTTGGGTTAGAGACAAATCATCGCCTGCTACCTATTACTATGATTCTCCAGAAAGCGCAGAGCAGGATAATCCCACGTGGGTCAAACATCGACTTTTTCATAAAACCTACAACACGGATAATTATATCCTAAAAAATAGCCAAGTAATATTATATTATAAATCATCTTAAATATGTTCTATAATGTAAAATCCAACATGTCGGTATGTTCATTTAGTTGAAAGTTCGGCATAGAGAATGCACTAAACTTCTGAATACATTTTTAGACATTAATGCAGGTGGTTACGTGAAGAACGTACTCAAGTCATCGTTTGATTTGAATCAATTCAATGTAAGTACTATACTACAATATATTAGTGTTTTATAGATGATGTAACTGCAGTAGGTATACCTATTATAGTAATATATAGTACCTATCTAAGTACAGATTTATGCATTTACAAACACAAATTTGCTTAAATCATTATTTTAATTTTTAATGTATTATATTTTATTGTGTGATTGTCATTTGTGTTAGGGTAAGATTAATGTAAACAAAATAATAACATCTGGATTTTCATTTGGAGGCGCAACCGCAATGTATAATGCATGTTATGACTCTCGCTATCAGTAAGTGTATTATTATGTAATACCTACCTAAGTATTATATAGATATAAATTACTACACAAAGAAAGTCATCATTCGATTTCATTTATTTATTTATATTATTATTATTATTATTATTATTATTATTATTATTTATAACTATCATTTTTATCTTAAACTATTAATTATCTAAGACCACAAATTTTACGGTGGTTCACAAAATATATTCTAAATCCAAAAATATGATCTTAATAAGTACCTACTAGTGCAATATAAAATTTAAAAAACATTTTAGGAAGATAGGTATGAGTATACCAACTTAAAAAAATATTAATTAATGTGATAAGTTCTCAATAGCTTTAACTTCTCTACAAAATTATAGTATCAACTAAAATAACTCAGGCAAATAATGACTATTTTTAAATTTTATTTACATTTAAAAAAAATATGATGATCAGTATTATATCATAAACACCTAGTACATACCATTATTAAGTAAATTAAATTATAATTTATACACAACTTTTTAAACATAGCTCAACATTAGGTTGGTATGCACCTATAATCTATATCTTCCTTAATTTCATAATATATTAAATGTTATTTTAGTGTTAAAAATATAAATACAAATTATTTGTTTAAATCTAGAGCTGTTATAATTATCGACGGTTGGATGTTTCCGATAAAATCAGAGTCATTTTTGAACATTCAACAACCAATGTTGTTCATCAACACTCACACATTCCACATACCAGCCAATCTAAGATTGATTCGTCAGTATTTCTGTTCCAAAGGTATTCGGAAAATGTACACATTGAAGAATACCACTCACGAAAGTCCGACAGATACACCTTTCATACATGGTTATTGGTTAGACTTGCAAATGCTGAAGAAGTTGGATGCTCAGACGGCATTAAATCTACAGAGTAGTCTAGTAGTACAATTTCTACGAGACACGATAGGTGCGTGTATCCACGTGCATAGCTATTTAAAGATTTTATTTTTTTATTTAACTAGCCTATATATTTTGTTTTGTACAGGTTGTCCGACAAATTCTGACAATGCGCAAATATTCATAAAGGAACATTCCGATGACCTAGTTGAAGACATAATTACTTATACAAAAAGAATTAAACGAAAAATTGGGATTTATCCTTGGTGAACATATTGCATGTTTATGGAGAAAGATAAAAAATAACTATTTAAAATAAAAATTACACATTTTTAACTAATTTCCTAAGTGGCAAAGTATAATAAATTATATATACCTATAGTTGTGCAAAATGTAATTTGAATTATATCTTAAGGTCATATTTAAATAAAATACTATAATAATTTTAATTGTTTGAAAACTTTTACCAGTAGATCTGTCATCTGTGAATATCAGTCTTAGGTATTATTTTCTATCTAGCGAGAGAGCATTCCGATTCAACGTATCATCGCTCAACACCAGTCAAACGAGACCTGTTTCACTAAGTACTGATTTTCGTCGGGCCACAGCATGCTCTCTTGCTGAACAGATTATAGTTTTACATTGTAAATCTCGAATTTATGTACAATTCTTAATACGGTGTGTAATAATAATACAACATTATACTAAGTATACTGTAACATTCAATTATTATTAGAATCTATCAATACTTATATTTTAATGACCTACGTTTTTTAAGATAGGTTCTATCTTTCTTCACTATTACATATTACTTTAACTGATATCTTTATTTTCATTTAAGAGGTAGTTTGGTTCATTGATATTATAAATTTATAACCCAGTATATCTTGCGATAAAGTAGCTACCAGTAAATAGTAATACTTCTAGATAGGTGACGCACGCCAGTGATTAGGTAGATTTTAAAATAACTCTCCAGGCATGGTTATGGGTTCATGCATTGGTAAAATTTCCAATCTAGAGCAATCGCTACAGTCACTCTTATGTATATGATGGTTGGACAGTTGTAACACATCCAATTACCAGGCTCAGTGGAGTGTTATACGACGATTACTGAAATGGTAGAGTTGCCAACCAGAGATCGATACCGAAGTCGGAGTACCTGGATTTAATAGTATATTATATAAAAAAGAATATTATAGGAAATAAAATAATAAAAAACCTATTGAGTGATAATTTAAGGTAAATTAAAAAGAAATGAAGTTAAGACGAAGGAAAACCACATGGCACAAAAACTTCGTTGAGAAAAGAAATAAAATAATAAAATGCATGAATGTCCTTGTATTTTTTGAAATTAAGATAGTAACATTATTCACCAATAATAATGTCGAAAATTTATGATAACGATTAACGTATCTTAATACAGTTTGAGTAATGAGTTATTCGGCCGTATCTATATTGGGCCGTACCACGGGTGCCGGATCGCCGCATTAGAATAAGTATAATACGAGTATATTACCACCTATAGGCTATAACCTACACATTGATACCTATTTAAGTGGTTTCTTATAAACATTCGTTTATTGCGGAATGCCACGTGCTACCCATTCACTTACAAATAATAACAGTATTGAATAATTATTATTGGTAATACAAATTAATATACGTTTACAAAGAAGAAAAATGTGAATACGAGCCAAGGGATTTAAGAAATACCTATATTATAAATATAATACATACACCTATGTTATAACATTATTTATATGTTACTTAGAATTTAGATACGTTCTCCAGTGACTCCAATCTTAGCGCAGTACCCACCGGAATATGAATTAAGTGCAGGACTGAATAATACATGGTATGCCTACTCCAGTTACAGAAAAACTGAAAAAAGCCAAACGCAGGCTAAAATCAGTTCAAAACCAAAATGTTTGATTTCCCAATTGTACAACTAAACGGTAAAAGTAGCATTTACTATATTATTATAATATAGAAAGTACAAAGTTCATTGTACCCCCAACATTCAAATAAAGGTACTCGGTACTGTTTAATGGTTATTCGTGTATAATAATTGTCCAGTGTTCTTTATCTAAACGACTATGGTTTTCTCGTCCCTTATCTTACATATTCTTACAGACCATGGTCGGACGTCTAGACACGGCGATTATTATTGACGAATAATCATTACGAGAACAAAGCTTTTCCTTCATTTAACTGGAGTTTAAATAGTTTTGCTTTGTACACTTAACCATTAACCAATAACCACTTATTCAACCAAATGATATTATGTACGAGTAAGTACGACGTACCTATATACTATCTGTCTATCTGTACATGTACAATGTACTATATACCTACAACCTACTAATCTACTATAATACTGAGCATACCATTAATTCACGTAAAATACACAAATTTCGAATTTATTGATATTTCCCTTGAAATTCGAGTTATCTAGACTCTACGGTATATTAAAATAAGTTTAAACTAGTATAAGTACTAACTATTAGTCGACAGTTGTTGATGTTCACTGATGGTTATAATCTTTCTATAAATAGATAAACTAATTGTTATTTATATGCCAGGATAATTTTTTATTTATTAAAAGAAGATTTACAATTTGTGCCTAATCACACTAAGAAAATAAGATCATTTTTTAATACAAACAATAACAATGGACAAAGATATTTTAAAATGAGGCAGGACTGTAAGAGACCATCGGTGGTAGAATCGGCGTGTTATTTTCTTTATGTCCACCTACTTATACGATATATTATTTTAGTTTAGTAAAACTTAACCTAACTGTGATATTTTATTTTTAAGCGATGGATTGGATTTAAACTTTAAGTCAGGTTACTGTTCAATATGGGACCTACAAATGTTACTCGACCTACCGATAAAATTGTGTTAATCCACAGATTTCTTTATCACAATTTTGTCATTATGGGCTTTTTGACTGATATGAAAAATACGTTGCACAACAATACAGACTGAATCAATATAGCTATTGACGACACTGAAAAGTAGAATAAAAAAAAGTTAGTTGAATTTATTTACGTATTGGACCATAACAGTGTGTAGCCGTGTGCCCGTGTAGGTAGCATACTGGACCGTAAATTAGTGTGTAGGTCGTCGCACACCTATATTTTATGAAATTGATGATAGTAATAACAAATTTGTTATTTTTAATAGGTAAAATGTTGTATAAATGTTAAAATATATAATAGGGTATAGTCTTATAGGGTTACCATACGTCCGGATTTCGTCCGGACAGTCCGGATTTCAAACACCTGTCCGGATTGGCGTCCGGATTGGCGTCCGGATTTAAAAAATGTCCGGATTTTATAAAGGTAACCGTTTAACGTGGTTATATTGATACAAAAAGTTATGTTTGGTGACAGATTTCCGGGTTCACTCTGTATAAATTAATAATATCTAATTTCTATTTATTAGTATAAGTTAATTAATTATTATAACAT